CGCTTCCAGCCCGCCCCCCCCCGCACGAGCTCGCTTTCCCCCGCAGCTGGCGGCTCGCCCCCTGCCGCGGCCGGAGCCGGATCAGCTCTCCCGAGAGCTCGGGAAGAAAGGACTGAAGCAGCCTGCCTCTTTCACCCTCCGGGGCTCTTCCGCGCCAGCCGCAGCGGGGATTACTCCGACCCCTCCTGCTCCCGGCACGTGCATTAGGAAAAGGAGGCCCCCTCCTCCCTCCCTTTGCCAGCAGAGCCGGGAATGGAGCTTCCGCGGGGCAGAGCGCGGATCAATGGTGCGCGCTGTCAGGCCGCGGGTTTTCCGCCCCTGCGGGCTCCTCACGTGCCCCCTAGGGCAGTGCCATATGGCGAGCGCGCAGAGGCGACGGTCGCTCCTCTCTCCCTTAGCCCGCCCCCTCCCAGCCTTCGTGTAAAACAAAGCAGAGCGGAGGAGCCAGCGAGCAGCTTCTTAAAGGGACCAGGCCCTTTCCCTCCGCCCCCCGCCGGTTACCTCGTCTTGGGTGGGGGTCTCCGCTTCCTGCCGCCTCCACAGAGGGGCGCTTCTAGCAGGAGAGGCCTGGCTGGGGATCTGCTATCTCACACACATCCGGGAGGGGCATGCAAGTGAGAGGCTGGAGGGGAACCCACCTGTAGGGCTGGGAGAAAGGGAGAAGGAAAGCGGTCCCCAGTCCAAATGGGCTCTGGGAAAGCGCCCCCTTTCCCTCTGCACAGTCACATAGACAGCCAGTCAACGAGGTGCTGCTTAGGGCTAGTGGCAGTCTGGCAGGGGGGATGCCTCCTCCTCTGCTCACGCCAGCCCCCTGGCTTGGCTCCCAGGCTGGCTCTGCTCCTCCAGCTGCAGAACAAGGCTGTGTCCTCCTACATCATCGTGCTGGCGCACACACCTCACCCGCCTCGGCTGAAGGAAGACCAGGGAGTTGAGAAAGTGGACAATTAGATCAGGACCTATTACTGGGTCCCCAAACAGGGATACCTAATGCCAGCTATCTGGGGACGAGCACAGCAGAGCCCCCCCCTGCAAGCCACATGCACATGCAGCAGCTTCTAGGGCTGGTGCATGAAGACCTTCCCTGCCAGGGCTTCTCCCACATATTGTGACATTCACACAGCTCCCCACTGGTGTGTTCTTCCACGCTCTAGGAGGATGATGAGGTCATAACAAAGTAATCCCTCTGGGCTGAACATGAGCATGAGACTACCTTTGTGTTAGGCTAGCAGGACAGCTGCTCTGAGGAGATTCAGGGCAGGGGGCCCTGGAGTTCGATGGACAAGGGGCAAATGGGCAAACTGAGAAGGGAAAGGCCTGAACTCACCCACCAGGTCAGTGGCCAAGCCAGGAAAAGATCAAGAATTCCTGATCTCCCATCTAGTGCCCTTACCAGTAACTGCACTGAAAGTGGCACTGGTCTGGGAGTCAGGAGGTCTGTGTTATCATCATTGGTATTATAGTAGCACGTAGAGGCCCTAATTCACGCTAGGGCCCCATTGTGCCAGGGGCTGCACAAATGCATGGTAAGGGGCAGTCCCTGCCCTGAGGAGCTCCCAAAACAAGACAAAGTGTGAGAGGAAAGTGACACCAGCCCCATTTGACTAACAGGGAACAGCAAGTCAGAGAAATTAAGCCTCAGATGCTCAAAGGTATTTAGGTGCCTGACTCCCATTGGTGGCTAGCCCACCATTGATATCAATGGGAGTTAGGACCCTAAACACCAATGAGCCTCAGTGGCTTGGCCCCCAGCATAGAGAGAGTCTGGGGCAGAGGAGGGACTGAATGCAGCTCTTCTGAAGCACAGACAAGTCCCTTAATCAAGAGCCCATCCTGTCTGTCTGTCTTTTCCCCTCCACCTGTGTCCACTAACCCCAAACCGGACACAGCTTCCTTTGCCGGTCTGCTCCATGCCATAATGTTTCGTGCAGAGGCGAGAGCAGCTGTCCTCTTCATGCCAGGTTTGTGTTAGCATCCGCTCGTGCCAGGCCAATTGTGCAGTGCTACATCCTCATTCAGGCCAGTGGCAGGAAATTAAACAAAGCGAGGCTTAGTGTGGGGATAAGCAGTTGCTTTAGAAAGTATTTAAGGGCTGTTTGCCACTTTCATTCTTTGGAAGCCCCCTGACTTCCCTTGTCCTCCTCAACCCCAAATCAGCCGGACACAACACGGTGACACTGGGGCAGGGCAGGGCGAGTTTTCATTAGTCCTGGTGGGGTTTTAAGGATATATCAGCTTTTTGCTCTCATTAAATTGGTTAACAGCTGATTCCTAACAGCATTTGCATAACCAGCACAGGGAATGCTAATAATGCACACACTTTTTAAGCAGTAATTGGTAAGAATTACTGTGGTCCAGTTTTAAAGGCTGGTCTGTCTTTTGCTCCTTACACAAGAAAATAAACAGCATGGGCACCGTGGGAGTCCACATCACCCTGTCTACTTGAGGCCAGGCCTAGCTATATACATACTGCTGCTCGGACTGAGTCCTACAACATAGAACACAAGAGGGCTCACTACTATTTAAAAGAAACAAAATACAGGACTATGTAGCACTTTAAAGACTAACAAGATGGTTTATTAGATGATGAGCTTTCGTGGGCCAGACCCACTTCCTCAGATCAAATAGTGGAAGAAAATAATCACAGCCATATATACCAAAGGATACAATTAAAAAATGAACACATATGAAAAGGACAAATCACATTTCAGAACAGAAGGAGGATGCGGGGGAGGAGGGAAGGAAGGTGAATGCCTGTGAGTTAATGATAGAGGTGGGGAAGGGTAGATGTCTGTGAGTTAATAGTATTAGAGGTGATAATTGGGGAAGCTATCTTTGTAATGGGTAAGATAGCTGGAGTCTTTGTTCAGCCCCCCGCGGAGAGTGTAGAATTTTAGCATGAATGCCAGTTCAGAGGATTCTCTTTCAAGTACAGATTTGAATGTCTTCTGAAGTAGGATGCAGGTGAGCAACCAGACAACTCTCTGTCCTTTCTGATTTTCTTCCACTATTTGATCTGAGGAAGTGGGTCTGGCCCACGAAAGCTCATCATCTAATAAACCATCTTGTTAGTCTTTAAAGTGCTGCATAGTCCTGTATTTTGTTTCAGCTACACCAGACTAACACAGCTACATTTCTATCACTATTCTACTATTTAAAAGGATATTCCCCAGTTACTATACTTCACAGCAGTGGTGTCCACCATGCTAGCCACATGTGGCTATTTGGCCAGCTGAGTGTGGCTAGTTTGCTATAGCAGTAGTCACTGTAGTGACAACTGCTTCAGAACTAGTTGGACACCATGGCTGCGTCTAGACTGGCAAGTTTTTGCGCAAAAATTTGCCAGCTGTCTACACTGGCCACTTGATTTTGCACAAAAGCACTGATGTTCTACTGTCTGAAATCAGTGCTTCTTGCGCAAATGCTTGGACATTCCCGTTTGGGCAAAAGACCTTTTCCGGAAATGTTTTTGCGCAAGAGGGCCAGTGTAGACAGCTAAAAACTGTTTTGCGCAAAAAAGCCCCAATGGCGAAAATGGCAAGCCGGGCTTTCTTGCGCAAAACCGCGTCTAAAAAACTGCTTTTGCGGAAAAGCGTCTGTGCCAATCTAGACGCTCTTTTCTGCAAATGCTTTCAATGGAAAAACTTTTCCGTTAAAAGCATTTGTGGAAAATCATGCCAGTCTAGACGTAGCCCACGGCTGTACAGAGACAGGGCAGGAAAAGCCAATGAGGTTAAGGGCCTGCCCCTACTAAAATAACTAGGAAATGTTGCCCTTCGTTGCACTGCAAGTACAATCAAAGCTTAGTATGATGTGCCAAATATGGGAGAGGAATTGGTTCCCAATGCCAGGTTTGAAATTCCTAGGATTCCTGGCACCCAGATCTGTGCTCAGATCACTAACCCAGGCTTTATGCAGTACGGCCCTGTTTCAGCACGCCGCAGCTTGTCATTAATGTCTCTCCCAAACCTTTACTAGCATAACTAAAATACAAATCCTGCCCTTCCCATTTTGATAGGGAGGGACAGCCTTGGGTAAACACAACTGGCACGGTTCTGCTGGGGCACAAAGGTAGCACAACTCCACGGAAACCGACTATGAACCACAACTGCTGAGATACGCCAGCACATGCTTGAGCTACCACAGTACTGAGGCTGCAGAGCAGCAATGCTGCTACTCCCTGGCCTATGGGCAGATCTTTTCCCTATCAGCCCACACAGGGAATTCCTTCTTCCAGCTGGGGTACTGAGAGCAGGTGCACAAAAGTCAGCCTGACTGTGGCAGGAGCATTCTCCAGAGTATCTCCATGTGAAACATTATCCAGTTGCCATGTGCAATCATGATATTTGCATGTGCAGTTAGGCATGCATTTTGCACAGGCAGCTATCAGGAATTCTGCATGGGTTGTTGTTTTTTAAAACATGCTGTTCATTGGCAAAAGAGAGAGTTTCTATTTACAGTCACAAAGTCAAATGTGACATGAAATTACCTGCACTGGTGTGTGAGGAAAAGGAGTAAGCAGCCGGATAAAACAGAGGTGCTTTGTACAAATCTTCAATGTACAATGGTCTCAAAATGTTCCATTTGGGATTCAGACCTGGGGGAGGCAATGGTGTAAATGTGAAATACTTGATGAACTGGCCCCAGGAGGGCTCGGCCCCAGGATTTTCTTCACCCAAAGCATGAACTGCTAGTTCTTGAGTTAAAGAGCAAAATCCCCTCAGCTGGCAGCAGTAACAGAGCCATTAACCTCTTCTGTGGACAGTTGCCTTCCCAACATCAAACCAGAGACGGCAGATTAAAAACCTCAA